CCCTGATCAAATTGGTGCAAACCAGGCAAAACCCATCTGCATCTGGCCGTGGTCGCAAGTGTATCTTATTACGAAGGAAAAACATATATAAACCGTTACAGTACCACAAAGGCTGCGTGCGACGGCTGTCAAGCAGATTCTAATCTGTCTCTTCAATCACATTCCTGAGCTGGATCTGCTCCTCACTGCGTTGTGGATCAGGCTATTGAGCCAATGGCTCCTGGTGAAGTTCCTTAAGCAAACCTCCAAATCACCCCCTGCCTTGTGGGTAAGCCTATTGAGGTAACGGCTCCTGGTGGAGTCCTTCATGCTAACCTCTAAATCCACTGCGTTGTGTGTCAGGCTATTGAACCAATGGCTCCTGGTGGAGTTCCTCAAGCAAACCTGCGAAGCACAACGACCACCTCGCGTGCGATTGCCCACCAATGCAATCGTAGGCCTGCGCGAAGCACTGAGCATCGGGTGCTGGAACGTGCGCACACTACTGGAGCAGAACTCCAGCGAGCGCCCGGAGCGATGCACTGCACTGGTCGCGACGGAATTAGCGCGGTACAACATCGATATTGCGGCGCTCAGTGAGACCCTGCTCGCAGAGCAAGGTAAGTTGCATGAAGCAGGTGTCGGCTACACATTCTACTGGGTGGGCAGCGCCGCCTCAGCACCATGTGAACATTCTGTCGGATTTGTAGTATCCGATCGCCTCCACCGCCAGCTTGTGGGTGAATCAACAGGCATCAGCGCGCGACTGATGACTGTCCACCTGCGACCCGGAAGAGACAAGTTTGCCACTTTTATAAGCACGTACAGTCCGGCCATGTGTTACCCTGATGACACGCGTGATCAATTCTACACTCAGCTATCCTCCGTGATATGGTATGTGCCGAGTAGCGACCGATTATTTCTGCTGGGTGATTTTAACGCGCGCGTTGGGCGTGATACATTTGGGTGAAGAGATGCCGTCGGTCCTTGCTTCAGCCTTGGTTCAGCGAATGCGAACGGTGACAGGCTGCTCTCACTCTGTGCCACTCACGGCCGGTGGCCGAGTGGTCTGCACGTTTGCTTTGCAACCATAAGGTCACCGGTTCGAATCCGCGTAGGGGTGGGCGTCCTCGCGGTATACTTAGCCCGCGCGCGACTGGTGGTGGTCACGCGGCCTCGAAGCGCCGCTACGGCGTATAAGCTGACACATTTCATTTATTTTTTTTCACGGCCTGACGACAACGTAAACTCGGTTTGCACTGAGTGCGAGTGATATAGCAACTTGGACGCACCCACGGAATGGTCACGTTCACCTGCTCGACTATGTCATCGTACGTCAGCGTGATAGGCGTGAAGTGCGCATAACGCGTATACTGCGTGGAGATGAATGTGGCACTGATCACAAATTGGTGGGGACCAAACTGTACATATATTTTCGTAAATCTATGTATTTCACTCCCGCCGTGAATCGGCGTAAATTTAACATTCTCTCCCCCTGGGTACTGTGGCGAAACGTACTGAGCTGGAGAAGGCGATGGCTGCACGTCTGTATAATGTGGACGGCATAGCCACAGTGGGCGACCTGTGGCACCACATTCGCGACCAGGTGACACCTGTTGCCGAGGAGACATTCGGGCGCGCAAACTGTTAGCGGGTTGATTGGTTTCATACGATCAATGCGACGATTGGCTCATTGGTGTCGGGGAAGAATGCAGCATTTGCTGCACATGTGACAGACCCCGTGACTTGGGAAAGTAGGGTCAGTTTCTCAAAGTAGGCCGGTGGCTGAGCTGGGAGCTGCGTCGCGTTAAAATGCATGCTGGGCGGGGAAGGCGAAGCAGATGAGATGCTGCGCCAGTCGCCGCGAACACACGGAATTCTTTGACTCTGAAGGCGGTGTATAGACCGAGATTGGAGCCGCTGAGGACGCTGACCGATGGTAGTTCAGGCGCTACCTGCACACGGACTGCAGATCTGGCGAAAACACTTGGATTGTCTCTTGAACAACCGTTCAGAGATCGACTGGCCTATATTGAACGGCCTCAAGCAGCACGATGTGAAGGCGAGTCTGGTGGAGACGCAGAGAGCATTTGCTCAGCTGCGAAACGGCAAGTTTGCCGTTGCCGACAGGATCACGCCTGAAGTACTAAAACACGACAGACCCGTGTCACCACTTGGGGCAACGCGTGTGGATTGAGGAAGAGGTGCCTCCTGAGCTGAAGGATGCCCTCGTGCGACCACTGTACAAAGGCAAAGGGAGCAAGCAATGTTGCACGAATTATCGTGGCATCAACTTGCTGAGTTGTGTGGGCAAAGTGATTGCCAGAATCTTGCTCAACCGCCTCGTCAGTCAGGTTGGGGAACGTAACATGGCGGAAGTGCAATGTGGATTCCGTTCGGGTCGCACTAAAAATATGGTGTTTGCGGCTCGTCAGTTGCATGAGAAGTGCGGAGAACGACACCAGCGATTGTACTCGCTTTTGCTGATTTCAACAAGGCATTTGATACGGTGAACCGCGAGTGATTGTGGCTGGCCTTGGGTAATTTTCGTTGTCCGAATAATTTTGTAACTTCATTGAATCTCTGCGCAGTGGTATGCGGGCGAGGGTGCAGCTGAGTGGAGAGACCTCGGATGGGTTTGCAGTTGTCTCTGGTGTGTAGCAAGGTTGTATCTTAGCTCCTGACCTGTTTAATGTATATCTTCATGCAATTGTGTCTTTTGTTTTTGATGCGGCTTGTGCTTGCGGTGTTCGTGTGGAGCACCGTATGGATGATGGGTTGCCGAACATCCGTCGTTTCGGTGCGAGAACTCTAGTCTGTGAAACAAGTATCCGTATGTTGCTGTTTGCTGACGGCTGTGCACTGTTTACACAAAGCGCGGGTGAGTTGCAGCACATGACTAATACTCTGGCTTCGATTGCGGCCAAACTCGGGCCCACCATCAACACAAACAAAACTGTCTGTCTCTTTCAGCCTTCACTGGAGGTGCAGTCTTCAATGTTGCCTCGAATCAGCATTGGTGCTGATGTGTTGGAAACCACCTCCCGCTTCTGTTACCTTGGGAGTGTGATGTCGACTGATCAGCAGCTACACAGTGAGCTGCGTATTCGGGTATTGGAGGCAGAGGTGGCATCTGGGAAGCCAGAGCAGCGAGTGTGGAACAACCATCAGCCTTCCATTGGCACGAAGCTGATGGTGTACAAATCCATGGCGCTGTACGTATTTTTCTACGGCCTTGAATCGGGGACGATGTATCTATGATATGTGCAATTTCTCCAGCGTTCCAGCGGCAGTGTTTGCGACGAATTTTGGGCATCTGATGGTGCGTCGGAGTTGCTGACACGATAGTGTTGTGCCAAAGTGGGATATGTGCAGTTGACTGCATACGTTTGCTGAGGCACCTGATGTGGCTTAGTCATGTTAGCCTTATGGTTTGAACGCGGATACCGAAACAACTTTTATATGGTCAGCTGAGTGCTGGGAAGGGCCATATAGCGAATCCGACGTTACCTTACCTGGTTATGGTCGAAATGCGCCTCTCACCTTCTAATCTTGATTGTAGGTCATTGGAATCGAAGGCAGTTGGTCGGCGTGCATGGCGCGATTTGATCACGAAGGCAGTTGCCGAAGTGCAGGAGAAAGGCCTCATGCATATGGAGAAGAAGCGGCCGTCGTGAAAGCTGCAGGCGCCGATGGGTTGTATTCCATCGACATCTAGCGCATTGTGCTGTAGCACATGCGGTCGCGATTGCCTGAGTCAGGCAGGCTTAGTGAGCCATGAGCGAGGCCACTCGGGACTCCTACCGAAGCTTCGACCGGTCCTGCAGAGTACGTAGGTCGAACCTGCGCAGCGTTTATAGGTACGCTGCATTCGATTTACTAACCGCGTGCTTCCATGCTAAGTCACTTTATTTCAGGTGATGGGTTTTCAATTTTGTCCTAATTCTTTTGTTTCTCAAATAAATGTCTTCCAGTGCTCTTTTCCGTAAACTTGGACACTTCGCTTATCCGAATTGTAGTTAATTTCGATAACATTTTCGTGTTTGTGGCAATTCCGTAAATTATACTTTCTGTCCCCTTGAATTTCTCTCTCATTTTTTTGTAAGCAACTTATTTCATATGCTCATTAATTTAATATTTAGTTCATCGTTTCCTTATTGCATTACTCGATTTATTTTTTTGTTATCTTTCACTCAATTGATTGACTGTTGCTTGATTTCCCCCGTGTGGATTCGCTTGATGTGCTTGTTGACAAGGTGCCTACTTGTCTGTTACCCAATACCTCGTCCATATTGGCTCTAGGAGACAGTTGGTCGTTGCTGGAGGTGAAGCGGTGCACGGTCCTTGTGGCCATGTTAGGATCAAAGTGTGGTTTCATACATTCAATGTGGAGCGGACTACGGTCCAGCCACTATGTTATGTGCGCTTGATTCAGAAGTACGGTGTGCTTGTGTTTGTCTGTGAAAGAATGTAGGCCGGCTCCGTTGATGAAACGTGGCTGCCAACCACATGCCTCCCGGTCTTATTTCTTCGGGTTTACACTGGATATGGGGTGTGTGGGTGGTGCAGCGCAAGCCACCCATGGTCCCTCTGTAGGCGCAGGCGTCCTGTGGCTGTCCACAGTGACAGTCAAATCCGAATGCGGATGCCGCCAGCCAGATATATATATATATATATATATATATATATATATATATATATATATATATATATATATATATATATATACATCAAGCGAAGCCACATTGGTAGCATGCATTCTCAAATTATGTAGGGCCCACGGTTCGTTTTTTTTCCAACACAGATATTGTAACGTAGTTTTGCACCTATTCATTCTTCTATTTTTCCTTTTGATATGTTTATTATGACACTTATTTCCTAGCGCTGTGTTTTGTCACCTTACATCTTCCCGATTTTACAGTTTCTTTCTACTATCGAATTAGCTTACAATGGTGTCCGACCTCTTGGTGAGTTCACTACACATACTGCATCCAATGAATTTTTCTCACACAATCCCTCAGTCACCGGATACGGAACTGCGTCAAACGGATGCGTCATATCAGTCCAATTCTGTTGAGACGGTCCCCTCGCATTTGCCAGTTGTGCAAAATGATATGCCATCTGCAGATTCTTTGGCACGGTTGCAATCTCAACTTATTCCACGGTTGTCTCCAGAATGGGATTTTATCGGCAGTCTACTACGTCTCGCTCGTCGTTTGATGCCTTTAACCTCCAAAGGACAGCGTAGTACGTCTATCTCACCTGCTATTTGTTCGTCAGAATTCTTCACCCTGATGATTAGAAATCCTACACCTCACCAAGCACACTGTGCTGGCGATGCAATGGCCCCATTAAGCCTTCTTGTATGTCACCCACAGCCATTACTATAATCATATAAACTGTATTTTCACATCATACAGCTTGACGTGCCTGTTATGCGTCGTTTAGCTGTTCTAACACCAGACTACTCAACTCGCTCACCACCATTTTCCTTGGTTCGTTCTTTTCCATTGTAATAAATCAATTAGTGAACAAATAAATAAATCTTTCGCTTCTCAACCGTGCGAGAGACTGTTGCTGCATATGTCAACGTCAACAGATACTCAGTTTGATTTGAAAATGATGTCACTCATACTAGGACTAGAGAGGAACTTTTCAGCATATGTAGTTGTTATGTATGTGTGCTGTTGTGTGTTGTACTTTATCACTGCTACTGGTTTTAAATAACGAATTTCCGGAAATTGATCAATACGTCCATGTGGCTGAAACCTGGATTAGTAGGGATTAGACGACTACGGATCCATAGGGTTGCAGAACTCACTCCTTCAGGGACAAGCTTTTACTTGGTGCATCATCATCGCAAACTCTCATCCCACATAGGGTCAAGTCTCATAAGTTCGGCGAGATATTTAGCCTCATATTTTTGAACTTTGTTTTTCAACTAGCTCAGGCATACATAGATAAGTGTTTTGCGGCTTTACATAGGTGTACTACAACCAACTTGCGCGTACTGCCTCCGAAATTTACCTGTTCACAAAGAAACTATATACATAGTGAATTTCCGTATCGCATATTACTCGCTCATGCATTTCATCGTAGTGGGCGCAGTTACGCTTTTTGGTGTGAGCCACGTTGCCTATGTTGCGATGGTCAACAGTTTGCAAACTTAGTGTCTACAAGCATATAAGGTTAAATCTCATTGCTTTAGATGAGAGCGGACATCACCGTCTATTTTTGTGTACATGGCCTTTATCACAAGTGGAACCGTACATTAGGGGGGCCCTAGCAATGTCACGGTAGCATGTAGTTCTGGATTTTGCAACGCTTGAATCAATTCCAGCAGTCATACGTTCGTCACTGCAAATGCAGCCACCTACCTCGGTAAATTGACCAACCGTCTCTAGTTGGTCAATCTCACCGATCACGAGGCCAACAGGTGGCTGATACTTTTGAAACAGAACATAGCATTGGGAAGCTGCAAAGAGCATACAGAAAGGTTGCACCATTTCAGAGATTGTCATTGGTTGACTGTGTCTCCTCGTGAGATTCAAACCATACGCTCTGATACGAAGAGTGTTGTTAACGCACCCCGATCTTCAAGTTTAATATGGTTTGATTGGCGGTATCCGGCTTTGTTTGTCACTGCGACTAGGAACAGCCACATGATACTTACGCCTAGAGGTGACCACGTGTGCTTTGCGTTGCACCACTCACAGCTCCATCCACCTACCCCACATTTACTGTAGACAAAAGTAGTAAGACGGGTTCATGTGGATGGGTGCCAAAATAGATTCAGAGCCGGTACGCACGATCAAAATGCGCGTACTTCAAGGGAACTAAGGGAATCACGCATAACTCTCGTACACAGGGTGATAGTTGGTCCCTTATGCGATTGTGATTAGCGACCTTCAGTTGCTTATTCCTTAACTGCGTTGTCAATTATTAGACGAATCGTTCTTTGAGCTTAACACTGTTACCTACGTTTCGTCAACAGTCGAGATGAAATCATCGATATGTTAGTGCATAGTGTAGTGTGGCGATGCGTACGTGTGAACCGAGTAGTCACGCGCGTGCGTTTTTATAGGTCGTCGCCATCGGTCGTGTGGGCATGTAACCTTCGAAAATGGCCTCTTCGACCCATATCTCGTGACAATAGCCCGTTTTCCTCAGCAACAGATAATTATGCCTGAGCTGTTTATATGGTGTTCTTTTCCATTGAGGTCGCTGGACTGCGGTGCTGGTCCTTTGCTCTAAGATTTGCTTAGATGGCGTCCAACTCAACGTGTAGGATTACTGTATTCTTCGCGGAGTGCCATGCTTCCAAGATTTCTCTTACTTGCCTCGTATTTCTGTGTGCTAGAATCTCTACATTTCTAAGTCAAAATAATGACCAACTTCATTCTCGTGTATCGAAACCAGTGAACAGTGGTCAGGCTATCTTATGCTCTGTGATCCGTGCGGATGGCTTTTCTCCCGTTTGTCCGATGTAGTGTTTATCACATTCACCGCAACTTATCTGGTACAGCACATGGGTTTGACTACCATGTTTTATTTTATCTTTCGGTCCTGAAAGCAACTATCTCAGGGTAATATTTGGTCTGTGTGCTACGCTGACAGTGTAGCTGAAGTAATCGTGCCGGTAGTTCAGAAACCTTTTTGTTGTATGGAAGCACTACACATTTATTTACCCATTCTGACCGCTGCTGAGGAGTCATCTTCAGGCTTCTTCATATAACATTTCGTGAATATTTCTTGTTTTGTAACACCCGGTGTGGATGGTTATCCTTTTTTAATTCCACTATGTTACAATGTATTTCCACTCTCTTGAATGTAGTTTGGACACGGCACTTTTTGTGGTTCATCGGGTGGTTACTGCGGTTGTTCATTACTTGATCCGGGTGTGTTCTTCCGATATACACATGTTTGAAGTGTCCCGTCGGTCTCCCTTAGAACCAATACATCCAGGAATGGCAATCTGTCGTCTTCCTCCAGTTAAGTAGTGAACTTGATGTCTCCGGATGTGTTGTTGACGAAATCGTGTGTGCACTGTACTGTATTTTGTTTTATTTTGACAAAGGTGTCGTCAGCGTATTAGATCCAAAACTTCATTGATGATTAGCATGGTAGCGCGCTCCAATTTTGCAGTACAGCTTCGGCATTGAGCCCTGATGTGGGTGACCCTATGACTGCCTTTCAGTTGCTGATATACTTGTCCATCATGAGAGAAATAAGTAGACATCCATAGATCCAATAATCCTCCTCACTTTCCGGTTTCATGTCTTTTGTTATGCTCGGCTGATTCTGGAGTACTTCATCTTCGTCTCTTTGGCAAGTTCGTGGTTGGTCGATGTGAAGAAAGCAGTGGAATTAACTGACAGCATAATTTCATCATCCTCTATGTTGACACCCCGCAGTTTGTCAAGAAACTGTTGAGCATTGTTTATGCTTTTCTCAGATCCGGCGATTAGAGGATTTACTTTCCTCCAAAGGTTCTTTTCTGGCTTGTATGACGGCATTCCTGGTAGCAAAACCATTTTTCGAAATATAGTCCCATCTTTGCGTACCTTCGGTGGCTTGTGGAATTGTGCAATATTGGTATCGTCAGCTTTCATTTCATTTGTTGCTTTCAGCTTCTTCAGGGTTGTGTTGATTCGGGTGACTAGTTTTGAGCTGGGGTTCAAATCGATGTGGCGATAAGTAATCATGTCGGAGAGGAGTTGTTTGGCCTTCTCAATGTAATCTGGTTTATCCAGTACCATTGCCTCCAGTACTATTGCGTCCTTTATCCACTGGAAGAATCACGACATTTTCTCCTCCCAATAGCTTTCTGAGCGCTTCCTGGTTTTTAGGAAGAACCTGTGTTACTTCCTTCCGAGAGATCATTGGAACAATTTGGCGAATTCGTTGCTGGATTTCTTCTGCTAGTCTATTGGTCTTCAAAATGTATTCTAGGCTGTCCAATTAGTCCTTGTGAGAAGCATCCCTGACGTTAACATTGTGCCCCTTGTTTAACACGCCCTTTTCAATTGTGTTGAGAGTGCGGTGCGACAAATTTCTGATCCACCCTTCACGCTTATTCTGATCAATCTTCATGGTGAACTTGTTCATCATGGCACTTACTGCTGATTTACGTCTGTTTCTCAAGCTGTTCACCCGACGCTCTATCGCAACTTCAAGCTCTGCGGATTTTTCGAGACCCATGACAATGAGAATTTTAGTTCTGTTATCGTCTGTGGGTTTCTCTTACAGTAGTCGCGTCCGGGTTGTGCATGTTGTCGGCGCCATTGCAAATGATGACTTGACAGCGTTTTTCGTTTTACCTGGAAGCCACAGCAAACAAAGGTGTGCGGAATGGGTACGACGAATGCTAAATGCCATTGTTCCCGTTTTTGTCGAACATTGTCTTTTGATTTGTGACAATGCACCGTGCTTCTTAGACCTAGAAGACGTTGTTCGGGATAGACAGTACCGATCAACGAGGCTTTTGTGAATAGCCTGATACTCTCTATTGAACTACTCTATCGAAAGCCTTTTTAATGTAATAAAGACCTATGTGTAGCAAGCAATGGGGAAAAATTGTGCAGCAATGCTTTCTTGGACCTTGGTTGTGACTCAACCAAAGCAACTAGCGGATTCGATTTCTGAATCACGTGTTGTCTAAGGAACGAGCTTGTGTGACGGCATCACTGCGTGTAAGTGGTCCAGCATGTGACGATGAATTACGGCCGTGTTATTCAACTAAAAGCTAATTCGTCTTGTTTGAACCAATCGTTTGTAAATGGGTTGGGCGTTTTTCTTAATTCATCTTCCGGTAAGCACATGGAGCACTACATGCTCTGCATGTAACATGCTGCTTTTTAACCGGTAAACACGCGGTCGTATGGGATACACGTTTCCGTTTTTGTGCCGTAAAACAACCATGTGAAAGAAAGATGTGTAATCGGAAATGATTGCAGTTGCGGTTTATGTTAAAGATCCGACCGATAAGGAAGTTGACGCGGGCAGAGCAAGTAATAAATCAGAAGTGGCAGGCATAGTCGTTAAGCGTGCCAAGAAACACAAGTGGCTGGCCATTGATTAACCTAGCGCGCTTGTAGTCGATGCGGTAGTAAAGACACGGTAATTACATTGGAAGAAAGTCAGTGCTGCTATACCATATCTGTTACGTGTAGTGTTTATTTTTATCCAAAACGAAGGTTCTCAAAACGGAGTGTAAAATGTCATAAAAGACACGCCTGTTTAGTGCAGTTTCCACATGTTTTCTGCCTTGGATACATTGTACATCGGCAAGCAATTCGGATTTTGTTTCTAACGTAGTGTTTGGCCTCTGATATAGATTATCACCATCCGAAAGTCGTACAAACTGACTTATCAGTTTCCGGCTCTCAGCGGGTGCGAATCTCTTATCTCGCCATGCCACCTTGTGGGTTTGGACGTTTCGCCAATAATTCGAGAAATCCTCTCCTAAGATAGCCTACCTACTTAGACCTAAGTAACAATAGAACTTCCTTCTCTCGCTCTTGTGATGGTTTACTTTGCTGCTACTACGCCAACTTTACAACTGCACGCCACTCATGTATCTACTCTCCCCTTGTATCCCTAACCTGTTCGTGCCGGTAAACCTTTCCCTTTGTTATCGTCGCGGGAGGTGCTCGCCGATGCAGAGCACAACCAACTCTGTCGTCATTCCTCTCAACAGCTGAAATCAAGCCTTTGCTGTGACCATTGATCCAAGTGGTCAAAACGAGCTTTTGAGATAAAAGCCGCTTCATCGGCTGAAAATACCTGCAGTTTATTTTGTATCATCAAGCCCACCATTTACCATTCACACGCTTTTAGCTAGACAATATGTAATCTATACGACTCGAACATCGCCGACCTGTACATATGCTTAGGTAGCTGGGTAGAACACTTTGCTCTTTAATGTATCTACTCAACACATCGCCCTGTTTCACCTTCACTTCAGTCGGATAGTGCTTAGCTTGTCCCCACAGATCCTACCGAAGCAGAGATCCGGAACCCAATCCAACCTTTTTGGCACGATGGATCTCCCGATCCAGACAGACTCTCACCGTCTAAATTCAACGACAACGGAGATGTCCTTATCCAAGAGAACATATCACTGTGCACTGAGGTTTCAACTAATGAGAAGGTTCCAAGCTCTCGAGGAGAATCAATCCTAGTCCAAATCCGCAGACAACGCTCGCATGCAACTTTCCCTAGCTTTCTGTGTCCGTCTCAATCTGCAGGTTTTTAAGGACTAGAGAGTGTGCTTCCACAGAGTACTAAGCTGGTTTACGCCCAGCAGGCTTCACACTCCATCCACACACCCCATATCAAATATAAACCCGGAGGAATAAGACGGCCAGACATGTGGATGGGAGCCACGTTTCTTCATCTGACCCGACCCACGCTCCTTCAAAATGCCCAGCAGCAACATTTCTCTCTTTGGGTATATCTTGTGTACCAAACCTACACAACGCGGACTGGGCCGTAGGCGTTCCACACTGGATGGATCCTCATCAACATCAGTACATCAGCCATTTGTACTGATGCTTCCTTGTCGTACAACCACGGTGACCTAAGGAACCAATGATAATAAGAGATGGCGAAGATGGGCTAATGTAAAAAAACTTCATACCCTAAACAAACATTCCGGGCGAAAGCGCCTAAACCTTGTCATCAACGTATCGCCACAAACAACTGGCTATCGTGCGAAGATAATGCAGCATCGACGAGACAGCTTCATGGTGCCTTTCACTGGCGCGCCTCGTAATTAGCCATTACTCCGCAGTTAACAGCACCAAACACAATTTAAATAGATAGAAGATGACGGCAGACACGCCATTGGTGTCGACTCTGAGCCGTGTCCTGCTACCTTTGGAAACAAGCAAAAGGCAAGTCACGAGGACTCCAACTTGGAAGTCGAGACTAACTGAGGGCACTGAGTTAGGTCGCCAGTTACAATGTTACTTTTACCCACTTGGGCTTTGCACCACTCTACACCTGGCAAACAAAACAACGCCCTCCTTTGTAAGCGGTGACCGGGCATACGTATCACATATATCACATGTGGTAACTTATTCACGACGGTCGCTGCCGTCCCCCGTAGCTCAGTGGTCTTAACCACTGACTGGCAGCAGTCATGTTGCGGGTTCGGACCCCACAAGGGTCAGGTTGAATGCGCACTGCTAACGATTCTTGAAAGGATGAAAGGCCGTAAAGTGCTTATCCCGGCGTGTGATGGCTGTCCGAGTCTAAATGTGATGAACTACTTATACCATTCAACTCCCCTACTACTACTACTCGTAGTAGTTGGCACCGATGGGCTGAATTAATTACAGCGGTGGCCGTCTGTGAGTTCGGTCGATGATGATAACTTCGCTAGATCAGAAGTGCTCTGTGTGACACAGATGCCTGCCAATCCTCATTATAGCTATATCTACCTTGCGGGGGAATTCCATAGCCTAATTTCGTTTTTGCCGCTGAGCACAGTATCAGCCGGCTCATTTGGTTTGTACTCCTTGATGCACATCCGAAGATATCCACTCGGTATTTGTGTTTTGATTATCAGCTCCCCTTCGTCGACCAGACAATCGCTCAGGGATATTCGACTGAATAAGATCTTCACAAGTGTTCGCTTGTACTACATTGGTATGAAGCTGGTAAAATACAGGCGCTGGCCGGATCACTTTTCTTTTCTTCATACGGATCTACTTATCTGTCCATTATTTCTGCGGTTGTTCAGCCCACCCAGATAGGGGATGCATATATGTTGCTCAAGTTGGCAGGAGGTTCTTACCTTAGTATTCGCAGCATTAAGACGCATCGCCAGCTACGTGATCTGCTGCTTCGATGAACTAATGGCCAAGGTATCATCCACATAGCGTTTGTGGTATTACCCTTAAGCTATTTCTTCGGGTCTACGTCATTCTGCCATCAGCAAAAGTTGCGTTGGTTTGAATTCCTACTACGTATCCCTGGTCACAGCTTGCAAAAGAGCGCTCTGTACCTAAGAGAAGTGCAGGCGGCATGATTAGAGAGAACATTTATTTTCGACTTTTTTCTTTATCATGCTTGTTACAGAATTGTACGTTGAGACAGGTCTAGTCCTTCCGAGGGCACTAAGGTTAGCCTTTGATTGGACAATCTTAAGTCGTTGTTTTCATGCGCTTCAGGTATTCAGGTCATCGGAAGCACATTGTGTTGTTGGAATTGATCTGATCCCTCTTGTTTGTCTTCCGAACTCGAAAGTCGCAATGACTGCGCTAGCTTGTACTGGATGCAGCTCAACATGGTTGTCGCTTGTTCCTGCAATCAAAAATAAAATGTCTACTCTTCCGGCTTACCCACTTTTGTGGAACGTTTTACGATGGACGTACTTTACACTAAGTTAAAGCGGTTCTTTTGTTTGTGGCCAGATATTGTGCTACAGGTTCCGGGGAACTTAGTTTGACTTAACAGCGGGGGATGAAATTGCTGACGACTAAAGTATGCGGTCTTCCTCTATCTCGCCTTTCACTCTGGAATCCAGACGACTTAGGACATAACTCGAACTTACTACCAGTCTTGCGTTCACTGCTGTCTGCTAGTCAACGTACCTGTTTAACATGTGTCTGATGCTGGTATATTGGCAAACTACTTACGCAGTCCAGCGAAATCCGCAAGGAAATTGTCCCTCAATGCCACCTAATTTTCGATGGATAGCCAACGCTTTGTGTCCGTGTTTCGTTAGCATGAGGTAGGCGCCTCGTTCTTGAATGTTTGCTTAGGCCATTTAAGTTTTGTCCTAGGTCCCCTCCTCGCTATATTAATTTTCCCCATTTTCTATATCATTATGGTCGTACGGCAGAGAAGTTGCTTTACTTCTGTCGGTAATGGTGACGATAATAACAAACTGGTCGCATTCGCCACACTTTTTTGCTATCCTTTTATTAAAACTCATGGAGCTGTTACTATCTTATTGATTTTACAATAACATTTTTCATATGCATGTTATCTTAGGATTACTTATTAACTGACCTATTAAAACCGTGACTCTTTTCTTGTAACGAACTTACCATGCTTTAAGAATTTCTTCGTGACCATTGATCATACTCTGTTGCGAAGCAAATCGAATTTTCTTGTTGTTTGTTTTACAGACCAAGCTGCCTGACGTTTTCGCCATACTGATATGTGTTCGTTTAAGCCTTTTACATTGTATTACGCGAATTGTACGAACGTTTTTCGACCTTAAGCCACCTATACTGTTTTACGCTTTCTCATCTTTAAAACTTAGTTATTTAGCTTACATTGGCAGTCTGTCGGTCTATCTATCTTGGAACAGAATAAATGTAGGCTTTTCTGCGTTTTATATTCTGATTCGCATGTATCACACATGCATTTATCTGCCAATTGATATCTATTGTTCGACTTTTTGTAGCGGCATATTTACAAGCAGAACTGGCTAATTTGAATCTTCATCTCCCTGCTCGCGTTTGGATCCCTGTGAACAAAGCTGACCACATCATTCTCCGCATTCCTCCCACAGCTGCGGTTTGTTTGAATTCAAAGAACAAAGTAAGTTCACACGCGTGTAGAACAATTGTTTCATCCTATTTTGAGGCATATTTGGCTATTTCGTAAGATATCGTTTTTACTCAGCTATCAAGTTCATGATGATTTTCACTGGTTAACTATCGCTCTTTTCGGGTTATGTGCTCTTCTCCGAGTCGTTTTTTTGCTTTCTATAGCTTTCGCACTTCTTTCCTAGATAGCATGCATCTTGGGTGTCATTTGACGCAGTTGGAGCCATTGTGATATGCCATTTGACGCCTTTTTTACAACCGATAGTTTACGCTCTCGAAGTTAATGTTTCGTGCGCTTTCCTGTTCATCTCCGAACTATCTTTTCATTGTTGATTCGTCAGCGACCGATCATTTCAGCTACACCACGGGGCAACCGTATTGTTTTCTCTATTTCTTCACATGTTGTAAACCATTTCATTCACAACACTGATACTTATCAATACCTTCTGTGTAGAACTACCCATGGGATAGTTTCATGGTTTAGTTTTATCGACTCCCTCCGAAACCTACCTGAGATCCATCTTCGCGAAATGCAACGAGCGATCTGGATTCATGCGCGTTATGCGGTGCTTCCTTACTTGCTATATTTGGCTACTTCAATACGTAGCTTCCCATTGTTTTTAGTGTTAGGTGAAAACAAAAAAACATACAGATCGTTGTCACGAAATTTTCTAGTGAACTTTTTTTTATCCTAAACCACATTTTATGACAGCATGAATAGCGCTGGTGATCTTCTTAATCCCATTACATTGACTCTATGATGCCTAGAATATGCAATCGCATGAGACCGGGTAGGAAAACTGTAAACTACTGAAACTATATCTGTACATGCACGGTTTAGGCAGAGGGAATAAAACGTAACTTCCTGTTACCATGGTCCGGTAATTCAAATTAATGACAGTAATCAACTTATGAATAGGTTTGCAATCGTAGTGAAATAGGACAGCCACTGGTAAAACGTGTGGAGGCGTGCGGAAACGGTTCAGTGTAGCAGTTTGCTAATCGACACTATATCGACGGTGAAATAATTTGTCTTGAAGGGTCAAGGATATGCCAATAACATGAATTAGGAATGTAAAGCATTTCATAATGCATATGTTCGAAGCAAACATGCATAAATTTCTCTAAGGAACTAAGTGAAAGATTTGGAAATAAGGCTACCACGTACTCTAATAAGCGATCCGGTTTGGCTGAATAATTAAAGTGCTGTTTGAACTTTACGCTTGTCATGATTGGCCATATTGCACTTCGTCTCCCATATATGTACGTATACGTACGTATACGTTCCGTTGCTTTCGGCCTCGCAAGAATTCCCTCTATCTACTGCAAACCCTGATAATTGACGCCTGGTGGAATGTGGATTTCTACGGGATGTCAAACGCATGGTAACACTTTTCGACAAGCGTATCTTTGTTATTGAACGCTTACTGGACACACAAATTGATGCCCTCTCTTCAAACCTTCGTTCATTAACTTACCTGGGGATTTTCATGTTACCTTTGTTTACTATTGTTGGCCTATTTGCCGATGCGTCCACTTTATCCCAATTCATTTAAACAAGTATGTTCGCAACACCGAATCGCGTGGATCGAGTTGCCACTGCTGAAATCGCCAGATTAGCAAAAAAATCAGAAAGTGTAACACATGGTTGCACCCAAACGGGATACAGTTTACTCAAAATTTAGGAACAAGTGCTCTAAAATAATATGGATGGAATAATTGTTGACAAGCAGATCCACGAAACCGAATTCGGGATCGACACTGACCGTGTGACTGCACTACACCCAAAGTGTTTACTATCACTGTTATGGACCATCCCGAAGACAGGACATGTCATCCTGACCAAGTCTCTTAGTGGATTTCTTTATGCCTTTATGGCACATCAACGACCGGTCACGTCCCACTCTCGCTCAGCCACTTACAGTGACTACTTGTAACGCACTCGTTGAAGGCTGTCAATCAGCATACGAAAGACGTGGCCTAGCCAACGTAACTGGTCAGGCTCGATTCGAGTTCGCAGTCAGGTCATAGGCAACAATACGGTTGACAAACTTTGAAGCACTTTCAGCAGTAGCTGGCTTATGCAGCAACCGACTGGATTGAGTATGGTCTTTTTGGGTAGACCTTCAAATCTTCTTTCAGCTAAAACTAAATTAGTCTTATGAATTCCAGAAATCATAGGGTTGTGCGCGTGAGATTTGTCTGCGGATTCACAAATTTTGATGACTGACAGTAGATGGTTATCCGTTAGAAATCTATGCGAAAGATTGGCTTCAAAGCAAAGAGAACGCCGAATCCGATCGAATGGATTTCAGCATGCTGATATGTACCAAAATTCGAAGTCGCAAATTCAATTTGAACCATAGGGCAGGATTTCTGCGACCGCTCGGTGAAATTTGGTTCACCTGGGACTTTGGCCAACCGCAAGTAGGATTTTTCGGATTTGTACTCCCTTAACAAGGAGCTGCCTGGCTTGAAGCGGGCAGTATCAAACCATTGAGCACATGGCGGTTCTCTTCTTTCGTAAGAGAAAGTGCTCTACATCAATCCTGCTGTGATTTTATAACCCATCAGCTTGTTGTCTCCCATTGCTATTTAGATGAATATTTGCTCTCCGATCTGGGCAATTTACCTGCGTTCAAGTAACACAACTTGATTAGTAACGGAATAACTGAACAGCCGACCCGGTCTACCAATATTTTAAGTGTCTCGATTCGACTGCAACCTTCCTGGCGCGCCAACCATAGCTGTGCTGTCACAATTCTCTATGACAACTTTAATCAGTAGGTACCTAGATCATAGCAATAGCCATAACCAAAACGTGTTATCATATCAGAACGCCGTTCAAGTATAAATATGACCTACATACATTTAGTCCGGCTTCTTTCGGTACAACTAACTCGGAATATGCTGCAGAAGAACGGCTGAACATGATGCAATTATTTAAGGAATGCAAAGAGTCGATAATAGGCAACAAAAGGCAAAATGATTTCCCGTTTTTATTTAAAACGAAAAATGGAAATGTGCATAACAACTAACTGGCTACCATTTAGAGGGTAATGTTAAAAACTATATGTAACAGGCCGTCTGTGTATTCAGCACTTAGTCGGCGTCAACCCCAGACTGGCCACGGTCTACAACCACTGGTGTAGCAGTCTCCGTGATCGCGTCCCACGCAGGATGCATGTGCTGACTTAGGTGCAGTCGATTACCACATATTTTCACCACATCATTGGCAACTTAGTCTGCGATGTTATCCGAACGGGTACAATGCTTGAGGACACACACCGCGATTTAAAACCGACAACCGTACGATGAAAATAACCCGGCAAGCATAAGCCGTTCAAACTCAATCCCATTCAGAGACGACGGACTGCGTACCACTGAATAGCCCCAAGAAGACGAAACCACCGTCCGGTGTTTTTCCGGATTATTAGTTGACTGGTCTGGATTGTCATTTAATTGCGATGAATTAAATAAACCATTCAGGCATATCGAGCTTCGGCGAAACATGTTATATATATATATATATATATATATATATATATATATATATATATCATCCGGTCGGGTTAGACCACGAACAAATTAACCTTTAACCTGGTGATTGATCCACTTGTCTGAACCAGAATGTGGTGCCTACGTACTTGGCGGTCACGTGGGCTGCTGCAACAACGGTTGTAGACCGTTGTCTAACTGGCGCGATTACCGCCTAAGTGCTGTCTGCGCATTCAATCTTGTTACCTTTGGCTGTTAATATTCCAATCTAATGGTTCTAGTCTTCTGTTTCCACTTTTTTGAACTATATATGTGCTTCTTCATTTGGTACAAATAACATATCAATAGCTATTTACTTGCAGTTACCTTGCCCACTCCGCATCATTACCCACAAAACTAAATTATGTGTCTGTGCAACCTATTATCCCCTCATTTTTTCTACCTACTCTTGAGCCTCACAAACTAGAAACTGGTGATACAAACATCGGTACATTTTGCATATTAGGCAATTGGGTCTGGGACCCGAAGGAAAATACATGATCCGAAATTCTATTATTTAAATTTACTTACTATTATGAATTAGCGTCGCACAATTCATGGAACCTGTTCACTGTACAAAAGATCGCTCCCGTTTATGGGGCCGTGCACCGCTTTTCGGTAGATATACAAATTTTGCATGTTATGAATGTGCAGAGTACAGGGATGGTCCCCAGAGCATCGACTTCCTTTTCAAGCCGCCACTAATCGAGGTGGTATGTAAGCTGCTAAGGCGACTACCGATTGTTTGTAGTCAGTAGGAGGATATATTAGGTTTCGTGTAGGTTCTACGCAGTGAGACACAGGTCGACAGTCACCACACATCCAGGAAAGCGCTAGACGGCCGCTTTGTCGTATTGGGACTCGTCATTAGCCCGCAACTGCGGAATGCTGCCGGATTCGAACCCACGACGTTACTATTGCGAGTCAGCGACTTATGTCACTGAGCCATGAGCGACGGTAGCTGACAGCCATGGCTGATATTTAACTGCGATATTGCGCGGCTCATCATCCACTATCTCGCATGTTATGCTAGTGCAGAGGACAGGGCTGGCCCCCAGAGCGACGACTACTTTTGCAAGCCGCCACCAATCGAGTTGGCAGTAAGCTGCTAACTCGACTGCTGATTATTTGTAAGCAGTAGGGGGATTTTTTCCGTTTTGTGTAGGTTCATCGCAGTTTGACATGCCTACAGCCACCACAATCCAGGAAAGCGCTAGACAGCCGTTTCGTCGTATTTGGACCCGTCAGTCGGCCGCAGGCTCCAGTTTCGTACCCACGACCATACTCTTGCGAGTCAGCGACTTATGTCACTGAGCCATGGGCGACGGCAGCGGACCGCCATGGCTGATATATGCCTGCGATATAGCGCGGCACATCCTCCACTGTCTTACATGTTAGGAATGTGCAGGGGACATGGCTGGCCCCCAGGACAACGACTTCCTTTGCAAGCCAACA